CACAAATTACTAGTTCAGAAAAATTTTCCATGAAGAGTCCCACTTTTTTTCTATTACCAAGTCCGCATTTTCTGACTACCATTCCTCTCTTTCTAACTTTTGCATTGTCATCACCAATAATTATCAATGCATCGTGATGGCATGTTTGATTAATTTCCGACTGAGTCATTGCTAGAATTCTTCCATTTTTCCATCCCTAGCTTTTGTGGTTGGTGCATACATCTGAATAATAGTTGCATTGATTGGATTTACCTGAAGGCAGATCAATCTAATCCTGTCACAGACAACATTTACCTCATGGTGAATTTTAAATGATTCTTTCTAACAAACCATGCCAAGTTGTTCTTCTAGATTGTTATTCCTGGAGTAGTACATCAGATGATTTTTCTGATTCAAAATGACCAGTGCCGGTTCATTTAACTTCACTAATGCCGAGGAAATCAATTTTTATGCATCCCATTTAATTTTGACCACTTCCAATTTCACTGGATTCAGACTTCACACATCCCAAGTTCATTTTTGCCTCTGTTTCTCCTTTCCTTGAGTTGTGCTCCCGTCATCAAATGATCCTGAAGGCTCCACTCCCACAGGGTTGCCCTAACTCTGGTCTCCAGGGTTGACGCCCCTCCAAGAAATCAGCTCCCCTTTAGTCACATTTTGAGTGCCCTTGGGCCTGAGCGGTCCATTTGCCGGCAGTAGCTCTGATAACATTCTCTTTCCGTTGTTTAGACTTGCCGTATCTGACAGTGCTTCGGTGATGTGCATACGATTTTCAGAGGCTTCTTCCTCTGAAGTGGACAGCAGAGTCCTTCTTTGTTGTTTGTTCTTAGACTGGTAGCTCCACTGAAACCTGCTCACTTTGTCCTACACAGCTGGCCATTGAAAAACCAGTGACAAAGCTGCTGGCATCACAACTGCACACAAGGCACCACAGTCTGACAGACAAGTGATGGCTCACTTAAGATACTCAGCATGTAGAGAGCAGTCCCTGGAAAAGGACACAGCACTTAGTAAAATGGGCCAGAGAAAAAGAGGACGTTTCTCAATGAGGTACATTGACATCATCGATGCTACAATGCGCTGAAACGTAACCATTGTGGGGATGATGAAAGATCACTCAGTATTTGCTTTTATTGTTCAGTGGGTTGCTATAAATTGGAACTGACTTAATGGCTCTAACAACCATAACAGCTGATACAGCTGACCAATCTGAACGAGACCACAATAGCATCTTGGACAGAATCAGAGAATGATGTGGACCCAACTCAATATCAAATAAAAAAGAAAGGAAAAAAAGAATTTTTTTGCTTGGAAGATACTAATGGAAAGCCTCAGTCAATGTTTTTTAGTCACCCATCAAGCCTAGAATGTTCATCCAAACAATAGATATCTTTGTAAGTTGAACAATAATACCAGGAAACTAGCAATCTTTAGGTATCAACCATATATGAACAAATGGGCAGCAAAGTTCAGAAATGAAAACAAAAGTTCAGAAATACAGAAGGAATAAAAAGCAGACGAATTACCACGGCTAACAGGGAAGGATTTCAATAAATGGCATGAAACCAATTGTGTATGAATTGTCATATGCAAAACTCATTTTACTCTGTAACCTTCACCCAAATCACAAGGTTTATTTGTTTCGTTTTTTAAAAAGGGGGAAAAATTAAGAGTAGTAAGGCTGCACCTTTTAAAATGAAAACGTAGGAGCTCTAGAAAAACAAGGCAGCTCTGTGAAGTTCCAGCTTTCACAGGTTTCGTCTTCGGTGCGTCATTGCCACAGTGTAGCAGTGAGTTAAATTCTTAACTATGTTTCACCAAATCCTAGACTTCCTGATATTATAATATTTTCAATTTTTATATTTTAAACGACTCATTAGGTTTACTGTGCATCTACCTTTGGCATCGCAGAGTAAATTGGGATGTTTCTCAAGAGGAGTAAGCATTTTTGAACACTGCTAAATGGGAAATTGAGCTTGGAAAACAAGAAGACTGGGACAGTGGAAAAGTCCTGAAATAGTCTGAAATCAATCAGAATAAACCACTGGACTCGCCATTGCTGAACAAAGCTTCTCACTGAGGTCCTTCCACCCTAGATTAAAAGCCTTTCTCTTTGAGCAGAGCTCTGGAGAATGGCACCCTTTCTTTTTTCCATTTGAAAATTCCTGATGCGTCTGGTGTTCTTCACTTGACGCCTTGATGTTCAGGTTCAGGATTCATAGTCCCTCCAAGTGGAAGTACTTTACAAATGCTGCGGAAGGCTCCCGCACCAAAGACCATGCTATCTAGCCTCAGCGGTCAGAGATTCAAATAGGTAGGAGGCAGCTGGAAATTGACCTGCAGGCCAGGGATACAATTTCATTTCTACGGAAAAATGTCCTGGGAGTGCCTAGGACCTCAAGAGGTCAAGAATTTTAGCTTTGCATCTCTTTTCAAAGGCTACCTCTGACTCTCTAGGGCCCTCCTGGGGCCATGGTCTTTGTACAGAAAAAGGCAAGCATTTCATTAATAGAATCACTAACTACTCTTCACCTGGGACTGCATCACAGACCCTTTCCCACAGTTTATCTGTGAAATCTGACCTAGTCGCAGTACAAGGGAATTTTGCTGCAGGTAGAATTTGTAGTACATTGGGATTATATTCCTTTCTTCAATCTCTGATCAAATGGCAGATTTTTTCCCCCTCTTAAAAGGAACTCCCCTGAATTTTTCCATAAAGATGATATGATTTTTTTTGGTCTGCTGAGACTGTGAATGGCAGCCTTTTATTTACAATTGGCCTCTCACAATTTTAATATTATGTCCTTAGTTTTAGTTATCCTCCATGTATTCAAAATATTTGTACTTCCTCTAGAGACAAAAGAATCCTGGGAAGTATGTTCTGTCTTTATAGCAACAGTATTTCTTTCTAGAATTGTTCAAATGAAAGACAATACACTAAAAGATGAAATCTGTGATCATCTGTAAAATCTGTTTTTCAGTTCTGAGGAAGCTTTCAGTAAAGTCAATTTGAATTACTGCGCAGAAAATGGCCCGTCTCTACTTCATTTATGCTGCGTTTGTGGAGGTACTTGAAACCTGCTTCTTTTTAAACTGGTTATCTATGTATATGGTCCGTGATTCGAGCTGTTTCATAGTCTACAAGAGAATTCCCTTCCTATTCTGCTCATGTTCAGTTTTCTTTTCTGCCTTGCCCTGTCCAGCCCTGACAACCTTCAGAAGAAGCAATAACTACCAAGCAGACATTCGAACTGATTTAGCTCGGACTTTAAGTATCCCTGTGCTCCTTCTCTGAACTACGTCACTTAGTTTGCTTGAAAGTCAGAATCCATTTTTAGTGCTGGGCATTTCAGTCAAGGATTAGGTTAAATTCTCTAAAGCCCAAAATATTGTCAAGCACTTGCTTCACAACACACAGGGATAGATGCCAAAGATAAAATCTCAATGTAAAGATTAAGTTGAAGAGTTTAATATCCTCATATTTTGTTTTGTTTTATTCAAAATTATTGTCCCAGCACTTAGTACCATGACGGACATATAGTCGGCACTTAGTAAATATATTGACTTAATGAATGAATAGTCCACATCCATTATATTATTCCAGGTTAGTATTCATTGAACTCAGCTTTTTATACGGCACATTGATGTATAAGTATCCGCTCTAACTATATCCCTTAATCAGTCCTCCACAATAAACTAAAGCTTCTTTGTCATTCTGATCATCATCTCAGTTAAACATCCCTGACTAACCTTGATCATATCCTCAGCAATGTCTCTGATCTCTACTACTAATGATGAACCCTCTACAACCTGATGTTTAGCTAACCTTTATCAACAACAGCTGATTCAAATGAATGAGCTTATGTATGAATTCATTTAAAATAATCTGGTGATGAGAACACTGAGTAAAAATTTAAGAAAAGTCCATCAAAATCCACAGCAGTGATGTCAAGTTTTCTAAATGGATTAGAAATGTTCACAAATAAGTCTGTCAATTAATAAGAAACCTTACAAATGGCCTAAAGCACAGCGGTTTGACATTTTCATCAAGCAGTCTAGCATTTTCAATTAAGTCAGTCAGAGATTTTTAAAGTCGCTACAGTCATCCTCAGAAGCATTTAATAGCTGTTTTAATAAGTCACATAGTCGAACCCTTATGTTAAAAGGACTCCGCCCATCTCGGCTGACAAGAAATGGCTTCACAGCTTTGTATTTGGCAGTTTACAAGGTACAATTTTTTAAAATTTTAATAAATATTGCATTAGGCCCCCTAAAAATATGTGTGCCTTTCCATATCTTTCTTTTCCTTTCGGCAAATGAATCAAGATGGACATTTTCGGCAAATGAATCCAGAGGCATTACATTGCTGGACTGTCGTGTGCCCTCTGTGGAGGACTCAGCTGCCCTATGCCACAACGTCTTTGATGAATCCATTGGATTCTTCCCAAACCCCTTGAGTGGATGGTTTCCTTCCCAAGATTGAATGGCCAGCCAGTGGCTAAAAAGAGATTCAAACTTGGCATTCTGGTTCTCTCACTAGCTAGCCTCTCCTAGGCTTCAAAGCAGCCTCTGTACAAAGACAAGCCTGTTTGTGAGGATGAAAAAAAAAAACACCATGTGTTTTTCTGCACTTTTTCCTTAATAGAAATATTTCTGGAGGCTCCTATTAGGCATTCTTTTTTTTTTAATTTCTCCTACCTTTGTTGCAATTGCTTTATTTTCTTACATCAACCCCTGAGTCAAACTTAATATCAGTATTGAAAGAGAATACATATAAAATTGATTTGGACAAACTAGAATACTTGAAGTTTAAAGAGATCCTTGACATTTATATAAATATGAACTTGAGATTATCTACCCACTCATTAATCATTATAATAACAGCCTTTATTTACTCTGAACTTACTATGGAATAAATATCACATTCATTTACAAATATAGATACATATATAATTTCTTTAATCATTAAAATAATTTAGTGGAGCATATGCTAGGTTTACTTTACAGATAAACTGAAGGTGAGAGTCAGATATCTAGTGAATGTTAAAATTGGCTCATATGCTCATACTCTCATTATATTGACGATTTTGTTCATTTTCAATCCTTTGTTAGTTTTTTAGTTTCAACTTGTGGCCTATTGGTATCTGGGGGGGTTGGAAAAGAGAGATTGGATAGTTGTCAGTTTGTATCAGGATTACTTTGCATTAAATCTGTCCCCTCACCTGTAGTTTTTTCATTATCAGGGAAAAAGGACATATTTCCCCCTTATTCAGGTTCACATAGCACTGTATTTCAGAATGCAAAATACCTAATGGGTATCCCTTTCTTCTCTAGTCAGTGTCTACTTCTCCTCTGGGGAGAAAACTTCAGTTGAGTGCTAAATTGTATTCCATTTCTGCTGATATTTCTGTTAAGCTTGAGTAGCTAAGTTCAAGGTATAGGAGGCAGCTTAAGAGGCTGGCTTTTCTCATGGAAGGATGCAGATGAAAGCTAAAGAGCTGCGAGAGTAAGAAGCTGGGGAGGAAGAGCCCAGACAGTCTGTGAAGCCAAGAACCCGGAATCTGATGGCTTGGCGATGCTTTCTGTATTGGTTCATTTAGCTCACATTTAGCATGACATGACCCTACAAAAGAATTCAGAATGATTTAGTGCTCCAATATTTAGAGAGTGTATTTCCTCCACCTTGTTTATCAAAAGTATATTTCCATTTTCAGAGTTCCTTTACCTCTATTACTTCTGTTTTCTTATATTTTACAGAAGGAAAACATGGATTATAATATTTTCATAGCAAGTTTATATACATTTTTATTCTTAGGAAAAATAGTAGGAAGTAATTCTAAAAGAGTTCATAAAAGAATGCATGGATGCTTTGTGGTTCCTTTACAATGGTTATAATCAAATTTCACCATATATAGAAAACAAAATAAACTCTCCATTACCAATACTACCATGTTAAACCTCTAATTATTCTTTACTGAACAAGTGCAATAGTTATCTCATTCATTTTGGAGCTGTTATTTCCATCCTTTCATGTATTTTTGAAATACATTATTCATTTTAATTATTATTTCAAGCTTAAAGTATATTTGCAAGCATAGTACAATGACCTCTGGTTATCTTTATTCTGATTCAGTAATTGTTTGCAATTTGTCCCATTTCCTTTATCATTATTTTTCTCCTGGACCATTTCAATATTTACTTTCCAAAAGCAAGTTTATGTACATTTACTTATATGTCTTCAATATAATAATCACAATCATAAATTGTAATATTAATCCAATATTATAATATATAATCCATATTCAAATTTTATTAATTTTTCTGATAGTGTTCGTGATAGTGGGAGGAAGATGAGGTTTTCTACTCCCCTAAAGAGTTAGTCTTGGAACTGGCTCTAGGGTAGTGACTTTACTATTTGGTTTGTTTCTTCATAGGGATTTACTTAATCTGGACTAGAATCTGATCATGATTCATGCATTTTTAGTTTGTTTTATTTCTGTCATCTCCCTTAATATGAGTTTCCCAGATTTTCCTTGTCTTTCTTGCTTTTAATGTTGTTCACATGTACTAAACCCAAGCAAAACCTGTCACCAAGAAAGCTGTGGCTCAAGATGAACCCATGTCTCTCAGCATCGTGTTGTGCTCCATGGAGTTTTCGATGCCTATGACCTATCCGACGAAAAGCCCTGGGACTTTCTTCTGAGACACCTGCGTGCGGATCAGGCGTAGCCGAGCAATGAGCTGTTTGTGCTACCCAGATCTCCTTTTCTTTCACCCATTCAGATATCCAACTTTCCTGGGGGTTTTCTCTTAATATTTCAATAGAATATCATTTTGTTTTCAATGGTGGATCTTTCAACTACGTACCTTGACATCAACTGAGTATTTTTAACAGGATTTCAATAGTAATATGATAAATGTTTCAATGTTAAAAATGAAACACATGTCTAAGTTTTTTTAACATTATGTGAATGAATGAATTGTATTCTCTCACTGTACTTATTCGATCTGTATGCTGAGCAAGCTATCAGAGAGATTAAATTATGTGAAGCAGAATGCTCCAGCATCAGGATTGGAGGAAGGCTTACCAAGGACTTGCCGAATGCAATAGCACACCCTTGCTTGTAGAAAGGGAGAATTTGAAGCCCTTGTTATATTTCCCCACTATGTGATAGACATAAATACGTGCCACTTAGATCTAAATGCCCTTTTCAACTACATGAACAGTGCTTGTACATGTGGATCCTCTCAGATGGAATACACAAGGATGAGTTCAATTACATCTGTGGAACGATATTAAGATAAGCACAATATTATCAGCCAAAACAAAGTCAGGAGCTAACTGTGGAGCTTATTATCCATTAGTCCTGTTGAAGCTGAAGAAAATTAAAATAAGTCCACAGGAGCCCCAATGCAACTTTGAGTGTATGTATTGTAGAACTCTGTGGGCAAAATATTTAACAATTCAGGAAGATAATGGAAGTACTACACAGAGTCATTCTACCAGGAATCATTATTTACAATCAATCATTTCTGGAGATATCATATGATCAAGAACTAATGGTATTAAAGGTAGAAGTTCAAGATGCGCTGAAGGCACAGTTGATGAAAAACAAGACTTCAGGGATTGATGAAATACTAATAGGAAGGGCTTTAACACACTGATGTAGTACTGAAAGTACTTACTTGTCTATGCGAAGAAATTTGGAAGACAGCAACCTGGCCAAATAATTGGAAGAGATCTATATTTGCTCCTATTTTAAAATACAGTGCCCTATCACAATGCCCAAATTATCTACCAATAGAAGCAATATGATTTACAACGAAAATAAAAAATGGTTTTAGCAATGCATTCACTGTGATTTGCCAGAAATATTAGCTGGATCCGGAAGCATACGTGGAATAAAGGATGTCATTGCCAACATCACATGACTCTTGGCTGAAGTCAGAGAATACCAAACAGTTGTCTAATTATGTTGTATATATTATCCAACAGTTCTGTGAATGACATACTATGGATAATATTGTGAAGAATAGGAATTGCAGAACACTTAATGATGCTTAGTTGGACCTGAATGTATTAACAGGCAGCAGTTTGAACAGAACACAGAGATTCTGCATTTCAGAAAATGACGAGTGTCTTTTTGTAAGACTAAGCCTGATATTTAAATATTTCATGTGTTCATAATTTACATATACTTTATTTTATCCTACTATAGTACTTGTCAGGAAGATATGGTATTAGGGAAGCAAATGATTTAAGAAAACATGATAAAACAATAGAGGGAAAGAGATGATTGTAAGGATTAAGGATAAATTTAGAAGTAAAAAAAAACCCTGGCTTCATTTCATTCCATCACATTCAAACAATTTCAGATACAGCAAGTCTTTTAAATTCCTTTAACTTTTGTGTCATCCAACTATAAAATAACAAAAACAAACCCAGGGCCATAGGGTTGTGTCTGATTCATAGAAGCCCTGTAGGGCAGAGTTGAATTTGCCTAAAAGGTTTCCAATGTTGTAAATCTTCAGAGAAGCAAACTGCCACATCTTTTTCA